GCGGGACTGACCTAGGGTGAATTTTTAAATAGGGATAATTTTTAATGATTTTAAACAAGACACAGCTACAAATATTTGGTTTTTAATTGGCTTTTATAGGGAAATGTTTTGTATTGTTTTTAATATGCTGTGAGCCGCCCTGAGTCCCATGGGGGAGAAGGGCGGCATATAAGTCTTATTATAAATAAATAAATAAATAGTGATGGCGAACCTTTTAGAGACCGAGTGCCCAAACTTCAACCCAAAACCCACTTATGTACTGCCAGGTGCCGGGTGGGCGTGGCCCGCTGGGTGGGCGTGGCTACAGTGGTCATGGCAGATGGTGGGCATGGCCAGCCCGATGTTGCTCGTGGGGAGGGATGCCTGTGGGGGCCAGGCAGGGTTGGGGGAGATCCAGGGGTATCTGGCGGGTGGGGTGGTGGGCAGGAGGCTGCTTCTGTGGGGTGAGGCGAGGCAAGGCGAGGCAGGGTGGGGGTGCCATGTCGCAGGGCAAGGCGAGGCAGGGCCTGGGGTGGCTGCTGCCTTACACCATCGGCCCCCGTACACAGAGGCCAGCAAGCGCATGGGTGCTGGGATGCATCCGGCCACGTGGGATCTCGGCGAGTTAGCGGGCGGATGGTTGAAGAGGACGGTTGCCATCTCTGGGGCATGGTGCGCGTGCCCACAGAGAGGGCTCCGAGTGCCGCCTCTGGCACACGTGCCAAAGGTTCACCACCACTGATATAGATCTGTGGTGGCAAACCTATGGCACACTTGCCACAGATGGCACGCGGAGCCCTCTCTGTGGGCACACGTGCCGTCGCCCCAGTTCTAGGCTTTCAGCTGGGTTTTATAAAACCTTTCCGCTTTAGGCCTCCGCCGTGTGCAAAAAAAAAGGTTCAATCAGTCAATTTCAACTTCTCGCGGGGAAAAAAAAGATCTAGCAAAGTTGGGATTGATTGAACTTTTTAGTCCCACCCAGTCTGCTGTTACCACTGCAGCCATGCCCACCCAACGGGCCATGCCCACACAATTGGCCACACCCACACAATTGGCCACGCCCACCCAGCACCCGATGATACATAAGTGGTTTTGGGTTGCACTTTGGGCACTCGGTCTCTACAAGGTTCGCCATCACTGATATACTAGATGGTCCTCGCGTTTCAACCATTCATTCAGCATCTGTTTGAAGATACAACGGTGCTGAAAGAAAGGACTTTGGACCGGTCCTCCAAGTCTGATAAGGTTTTCTGATAAGCGCTTTTGGATAATGGAGGGAAAAGTTTTGGAAAGCAGTGAGTTAAGCAATCTTGCAGGAAGAAATTCAAGTAATGCACAGACATCCCACTTTAATGAATTTGCTAATGAATGACAGCTGGAGTTTTCCTTCTTCAGTTTTCTGCAATCGATCACACCCCCGCCCCTTTACCGCAATTGATTTTCCCAGCATTAAATCTGAAATAAAATGAAATGTCAATGGAAATCTTTCTTTCGGGATCTTGCAATCCTGATTAGAAACTTGACAATATGATCGACTTTTTTTTTTTTTTTTTTTAAAGCAGAGGTACGTTGACAGAATGGAAGATGCCAAAAGACACTTCAGGCATTGCTCCTCACATCATCCCACTGTAATCCTGCAAAGTTTTAAGGATCCCTTTTATATACAGATTAGAGATGAAGTGTGATGCCTTTGTTTCTTGTCAAACCTCATCCCAATGAAAGCAATTTCTTTTAAGGGGTGGGAGACCCAGAAATCAATTCATTGTTTCAGGAGGTCTTCCTATCACAAACCTTTGAGAACACCTGGGGAAAATAATAATAATAATGATAAAATTGGAAGGGACCTTGGAGGTCATCTAGTCCAACCCCCTGCTCAGGCAGGAAACCCTATACCATTTCGGACAAATGGCTGTTCAGTTT